TCCTCCAGTATCAATATCCTGAAGGTTACCATTAACTGGAATCTGAACTGGATTAGCCACATAAATACTGTGGCCAAGAACCAAGCCCAGGGTTAGGAATACTGTAGTGAGTAATTCACCTCCTGACTCCCTAAAGCCTGTCCACTATCTACAAGGCACAAGTCAGAAATGTAATACAATACTCCCCGCGTGACTGAATGTGTACAGTTCCACAACACACAAGAGGCTTCACACCATCCAGGACAAATGAATTCACTTTATAGGCACCATTTCTTCAAAAATCCCCTCCCTCCACCACTGATGCATTGTAGCAGTTTTGTGTACCATTTGCAAAATACTTTGTATAAATTCTCACGTCTCTTTAGCCAGCAACTTCCAAACCTGTGACCAGTACCATGTAGGAGGACAAGGACAGCAGCTGCAATGGAACACCACTCCCTGCAGTATCCCCTCCAAAACACGTGCCATGCTGAATTGGAAATGTATCATCATTCCTTCAGGGGTACTAGGTCAAAACCCTGGAACTCAATCCCTAGAGGCATTCCGGGTCTATCTACACCAAATGAACTCCAGTGGCTCAAGAAGGCAATTAATCACCACCTTCTTGAGAGCAACTAGGGCTGGGCAATAAATACTGGCTGAGTCATTGAATCCCATATCCACAACCAATGATGCTACAGGCTGGTGCTTTTTGTGCCCCTGTGAAGAACCATTGCCCTCACCAACATCCAGAATGAAAAACTGTTCTTGTGCAGAACTTCAGGGGACTCTGTCTGTTTCTCTTTGATTGTCTGGTGTTCACCCATTCCCTATCTGTCTGCATACCCCTAGCTTGCAGCATGACCAACTCTCCGAAAATGCCTCAGGATGTTTCATTATATTAAACACAAGTGTCAGTGCAAGTTGCAGAAAGTGTCACCAGCTGCAGAACTTTGAACCCCAGGTTTTGGAACTAAAGCAATAGCTGGAGTCACTGTGGTGTATCCATGAGATTGCAGCTTACGTGGGAGTACATTCGGAGAGTTGGAGACACCACATTGTTGTATCTGCAAAGATAGGACTTAGTCTCCACAAGGGTTATGCAGTGGTCACTCCTATCAATGCAGTCATGGATCGATGCATCTGCAACAGGTACTTTGTTAAGTATGAGGTCAAATATGAGGTTCCACCTTGTTGGCTCCTTTACCATCTGCTGCAGACTCAGTTTCACAGCTTGCTCCTTTAGGACTCCACCATTCAGTTGTAGCTCATTTAATAGTGGTCCTGCCAAACCATTCTGAATGATGGACATTGAAGTCTCCCACCCAAAGGACAGCCTTTTCCATTGCCACCCTCAGTGCTTCTTCCAAGTAGTGTTCCATGGAGGAGTACTGACTCAGAAGGTTGGGTGGTTACCTAATCATCAGCAGGAAATTTCCTTGCCCTTGTTTGACCGGATGCCATGAGACTTTGTGGGATTCAAAGTCAATGTGGAGGACTCCAAGGGCTACTTGGTCCCAGCTGTATCCTAATGTACTGCCACCTCTCCTGGGTCTTTCTTATCAGTGAGACAAGGCATAACTAGGGATATTGCCGGTATCATCCGGAACATTGTATGAAGTATGCTTCCGTGATGATGACGTCGCAGTAATGTTGCTTGCCTTGTCTGTGAGGCCGCTCTCTCAATTTTGGTACTTGCTCCCAGACATCAGTAAGGGAGATTTTGCAGCGGCACCAAGATTGATTCTGTTTTTCGTGTTTCTGGTATCTAGGTTAGTGTCAGGTGATCCATCCCGTTTCATTGTTCTTTTGAGACATTTTGGCATTTTTATACAACTGAGTGGCTGACTTGTCCATTTCAGAGGGCAATTAATGGTTAACCACACTGTTATGGGTCTGGCCAGACCAGATAAGGACAACTTCCCTAAAGTACAGTATAGAGCCACATGCATTTTTGCAACCATCAACAATAGTTTTGTGATCACCATTACATTTTACTTCAAGTTCCATTATCTGCCATGATGGGATTCAAATGCAGAATGCCAAAGCATTACTTGGGTCTCTAGATTACTTGCCTAATGACAATAGCACTCTGCTATTATATCCCCAACTTGGAGTTCTTTGAAGAAGAGTTGATGATAGTAATGCTATGTATGTGTCGATGAAAACATCTGACCCATATGATAGATTTCAAAGAAAAAAAGTTTATCTCATGAAATTAGAAGGGACAGCAGCAATATAGATACAAATATTGTCTGAAATACAGGAAACAGGAATGGTCAGTGGATATTTTTCAGGCTGGAGAGAGGTTTGCTGTGGAGTTTCCCAGTGGTTGGAGTTAGGGTCTTTGCATTTCCTGACTCATATTCACAATGTAGATCTTCTTGTGCAGGGGACAATTTTAAAGTTTGCATACGACACAAAACTTGAAAGCATTGTAAACTATGGAGGATGGTGCTGCACTTCAAAAGGCCACTGACAAAGTTGGAGAAATGAGAGGGGATAACACGTCAGCACAAAGAACATGGACAGACTGTATAAACTGTACGACTTTCAAGTGTGTGCAGGAGCAGAGAGGCCTTGCTGTGTATATGCAGAAATCACGATACAGTATCCTAGGCTTTATTAATAGGGACATAAAGTACGAAAGCAAGGATGTTAGGCTGAACCTGTGTAACATACTAATTAGACTTCAGCCAGAGGACTATGTACAGCTCTGAAAGCTACACTTTAAGAAGCATGTGAATGCAATTGGAAAAAGTGTAAGAAATTTTTAAAATGGTCCCAGGAATGGAGAAGTTTCAGTTCTCAAAGTAAACTGGAGGAAGTGGGACTTGGCACTTGGTTTCTTGACAGCTATCATTGGACTTGGTACTTTGACCAGAGTACTGTATTTGATCATTATTTCATCTGTCAGATTAAGAACATTGGTTGGAAATTCCAGGCGACTTGCACCAATGCAATGGCAATGTAATGTGATGGCATAAAAGTCCCAGAAAATCAGTGACCTACCTCATGGCTTTCTCCACACCACCACAAATTTTTGTGCTGCTTTCCAATACCAAAAGTTGAATATATCATAATCATAGCTTTATCCTCCATTAGTGTTAATAGTGAAAGGTAATTTGCCCTCTTTCCCACTGACTTTTTGCAGCATTTTCCTCTAGTTGCTCCTGCTCTCTCCTAACTTCCTTGCTGCTACCTAATCCTCTAACCCCAAAGGCAGATCGACTGGACCATGCAGCTGCAAACTGTTTGAAAAACTGTGCACTGCCAGTGAGATTATCTTCTCCACAGTCTGAATTAAGTTTCTCCAGTCAGAAAATAGGCCAAAAAAGACTGAATAGTTAACCATGCAACAGAAAGTAATGGATAAACCTTTAAAAAGCACTGCTGAAAGCTTCTTCTCCACTGAAATGAGTTGGTATGCAAGGTTTATTACACGGCAAGTCCAATAATGGGGCACTCCAATCTCTGCAAGAAAAGCAGCCTGAATCAAACTGCCCTTAGGATTCTAGTTGCTGGCATCCACAAGGCAAATAAACTTACCATGAGCGTTGTTTAATACTGCGATCAAACAATGTCACAACAAAGATTTCCCCACCTCACCCCACACCCTGAATATACTGTGACAAATATGAGAAAAAAGATGCAAAATGTATTTTGTTACAGCTTGTAAATGGCTCTTATATGGCTTTATAAATCTGTAAGAACTTACGTTAATTTTGTAGTTCACAATTATTGATCATACATTAATTGTACAGTTGACTTCAAAAATATAATTATTTACTTCTTTCTTGATGATGTAGCAAAAATATTTCTGAAGTCACCATTAAAGTAGTTATACGCCGAGCTGTGATATATTGTCAACTTGGAAATAAATGTTTCATGTTGTGAGGTATGTTTATCTATTGACATGTCTAAAATTATTCATAATTTGTTGCCTTATTTAGGAATAAGGAATATTCTGAAAAGAACAAATGTTCTACATTTGAAGACAATGACATGGAAACACTAATTTTTTTTATTTTGTGAACCTAAAATATAAGCAAAACAGCAATACAACTTAACACGAGTTGGTCAATTTGAGGAAATGGAAAGAAAACATTCAGCAAGTTTTGTGGAACTAACAAAAGATCACATTTTATTACTTCAAGGCTCTCTCAAGCAGTACATTACCTCAGCTCAATGATAAATTTTCTTTCATTCCAAAACAATAACTTGCTGAATTTTACATGTTCCACATCCTCTTAAGGGCAACACTCACATGAAAAATTTATCAAAAAATATTAAAGGAATAGACCTGTACTTATCCTGCAGTGCATGTACACTCAAGAGTAAACGTATTAATTTAATCTTCAGCACTTGGAATAATGTATCTTCTTATTGTGTCATACCCAGAAGTTGAGAGTTTTGCAGAGGTTATAGTATTGATTCTTTAGAATGATTCCAGGGATGAAAGATTAGAGTTACTTAGATAGATGCTGGAGCTGTACTGCCTAGAGCAGAGAAGTCTAGAAGAAGATTTGATGGTCGGGTCTAAAATTGTGGAAGGTTTAAAAGAGGAAGATTAAGAAACTGTTTCAAATAACTGAAGGATCGATACCCAGAGGCCACAGAAGCCAGAATAGGCTGCCCCCAAACTGATATCGAGTTAATTAAATAGTTAGAGTTCAAGGTAGAAATAGCACACATATATATTCTGAAGAAGCATTTAGTGTTACATTTAAGTTATATTAATTTTGTAGTTCACAATTATTGATCAAACATTAATAATCATACAGTCGACTTCTAAAATTTAGTTATTTACTTCTTGGTCACGAAGCAAAAATATTTTTGAAATCACTGTTAAAGTTACTTGCTGAGATATGGTATACTGCAAACTTGAAAATAAATGTTTTATGTTCTAAAGAATATTTACCTATTTATGTCTCAAACTATTACCATTATTACCATATTTAGGAATGAGGAATAATGTGAAAAGAATAAATGCTTTACATTTGAAGAACACAGGACTGGAACACAGTAAATATTGTTTTATTTCGTAAACCAAAACAAGAGCAAAACAGTAACACAATTTAACATGAAGAAAATCATGTTTACACAATAAATGGTTAGGATTTGAAATACACTAGCTAGTGGTTTAGTGAAAGCATTTTCAATAGTGGATTTGAAAATAAAACTGAATAAATGCTTGAAGGAGAATGAATTGAGCAACAGTGTTACTGTACATAGCTAGACACAGTCGTTCACATCAGTATTTGATGCCTGATATGGGAATTTGTTCCTTTACGAAAATGGTGGACAAGGAAACACATTTATATTATTGGCTTTTCATAAATATTTGTTCAAGGACACATGCTGGTGATGGCTGAATTAAAGAGTAACATGATTCACAATAAGGTGTGGCAATGAGTTCAAAATTGGCTAATCGTGAACCTTTGAACTTGGAAGATGTTACAAGTGAAATCCATCCTGTGACTATAGCTATTTTAAAATACTCATTAATAACTTATGGCACATTATTGTGCATCGAGCAAAATCTTTTGCACTTCCTGTAATTTCCAGTTTAAATTGTTTTCACCCTCAGTCTGTATACCTGAATGCATTTTGGAACTTTGTTTTTATTCATTCATTGGATGCGGGTGTCACTGGCTAGATCAGCACTTATTATCCATCCTGAATTGCCCAGAAGACAGTTAAGAGTCAACTACAAAGGTCTGGTGGTACACATAGACCAAGGGGCATTAGTTCACCAGAAGGCTTTTATGACAAGCAACAGCGGTCATCATTAGGTACCTTTCCATTCCAGACTTTTTTACTGAATTCAAATTTATACCCATGTTCCACCAAACATTAACCTAGGATTTGGAATACTAGCCCAGTGACATTACCGCTCTGCTACTGCCTCCCCTTAAATATTACGTCTATTAAAATCACATTAAATGGGGCATGTTGCATGGGGTCAAGGTGAATACTATTGTAAATTCTGTAATATTCAAATTTGAATGTTTTTATAGTTGTTTACAAGTCCATTTTTTGCAATTAAAGATTTATTAATGAATTGACAATGGTATATTATGCAATTCTTTCAGTATTGAAGAAATATCAAAATAGAAAGCTGAACAAATAATGAAGGTCATTGCAACTAGTTTATGTTGGATATATCTTTCAGGGTATTGATTCCATTGATGGTAGAATCAAGTCAATGTTCACCAAATCATATTTGCATTGATGACACTTAGTTAATTTGTTAGTTGCCTGTTTATTTAAGATTCCATGCAATCTCAAAAAACAGAAAATTTCTGCTCGTTAGTTTCAATTAATACAGATGTTGTTTCATCCGCTGGGACTGGGTTAAAGCTGCAGAAATTAATTTTACTTCAAACCCATTAAAAAGAAAGATTTTTATCCCATCAGTCAGGACAGTGAATGAAGTGTTCGAACATCTCTCCCTCACAACCAATTCCTTCTGACAATTAATTGAAACACATTTTTTAACAAGAATGTAACATAGAAAATTTCTTCACATCTATATAAAAGACCATGAAAATAGCTGGCTAGTTTTTCATAGATTCATACAATGCAGAAAAGGCCCAATGGTCCATTGAGTTTGTACTAAAATAACTACCAGTAAAAGTGTGCTAATCCCAATTTAAGGCGCCTACCCATATCCTTGAATGTTATGATATTTGAAGTACTCATCCAAACATTTTTTAAAGGTTGTAAGATTTCCAACCTCCACCATTCCAGATTGCCACCATCAGTTGAGTGAATTTTTGTTTTCCAAATCCCCTCTGAATCTCTGCCTCTGACCCTCTCATGATTGACCCCTCAACCAAGGGGAACAGCTGCTTTCTATTCACCTAGTCCATACCTCTCAAGATCTTATATATCTCTATCATGGCCCCCCTGTAGACTTCTCTGTTCTAAAGAGAACAAACCAAACCTGTCTAGTCTCTCCTTAAAGCTCAGTTTCTCCATTCTAGGCAACACCCTGGTGAACTTCCGCTCTAGTGCTATCACATCCTTCTTGGAGTGAGGTGACCCAGAACTGCATACACTAAGTAAGCAAATTTCCCATATGCCTTGACTATCCTATTCATGTGCTCTGCTGACTTCAGTGATCTGTGAATCATTACCCCAAGATCCCTCTGTTTCTAAGCTACCCAGTGTCCTGCCAGTCATTAAATACTCTTGTTTCTTCTTCCAAAGTGCATCACCTGACATTTATCACAGAGATGATAGCCAAGTGATATGACTGCTGTACTGTTAATCCTGAGACCAAGGTAACATTCCAGGAACCTGGGTTCGAATCCCGCCATGGCAGATGGTAGAATTTGAATGCAATAAAAAAATGGAATTAAGAGTCTAATGGTGACTGTAAATCCATTGTCGATTGTTGGAAAAACCCATCTGGTTCATTAATGTCCTTTAGGGAAGGAAACTGCCATCCTTACCTGGTCTGGTCTACATGTGATACCAGAACCACAGCAATATGGTTGACTCTTAACTGTCCTCTGGGCAATTAGGGATGGGCAATAAATGCTGCCTAGCCAGTGATGCCCTCATCCCACGAATGAATTAAAAAAAAATACTGTCTGCCCATCTGACTAATGCATCTATATCGTCCTGTAACCTGCACCCATCTTCTTGCTATTAACCACTCTACCAATCTTGATGCAGTCTGCAAATTTGCTTAACATTCCCCCAATATTTTCATCTATATCATTTACGTATATAACAAACAATAAGGGTCCAGGACCAATCCTTGTGGGAGGCCACTGGACAACTGTCTCAGTCACTGAAACAGCCTTCTACCACTCCCCTTTGTGTCCTATTACTAAGCCAGTTTCTGATCTATTTCATCAAGTTTTTGTCAGTTCCATGTGCTTTAACCTACTCAGTCCCTTAAGGACCTTGTCAAAAGCTTTGATAAAATCCATACAAACTACATTAACTGAGCTTCTCTTATCCACACACTTGATCACATTTTCAAAAATTTTTAACAAATGTGTTAGGCATGACCTCTTTCTGACAAAGCGATGCTGACTATCCCTAATTAAACAATGCCTGTCTAAGTGAGTATTAATTTGCTCCTTCAGAAATTTGCTAATAGTTGCCCTACCACTGATCTGAGACTCAGCAGTCTGTAATTTCCTGGTTCATCTCTATCAACTGTCTTAAAATGTGGAGCCACGTTAGCCATCCTCCAGTCTTCTGGCACTTACCCTGGGGTCAGAGGAATTAAAACTTTGTGTCAGAGCCCTCTGCAATGTCCTGCCCTACTCCCACAGCAGCCTTGAATGCAATTCATCCGAGCCAGGGGATCTATCTGTTTTAAGTGCAGCAGAACCTCCAATACCTCCCCATTTCTGATGTCAAGCTGGGCAATTTCTTCACTGTTCCTTTCCCTGAATTCCATTCCTATGTTCTCCTTTTCCAGAGTGAAGACCGAAGAGAAGTATTCATTCAACAGCCTTCCAATATCCTGTGGCTTCACACACAGGTTGCCCCCTTGGTTCCTAATGGGCCCTGCTCTTTCCCTGGTTAACTTCTTCCCTTTAATGTATTTATAAAATATCTTAGGATTCTCTCTTGTCTGGTTCGCAAGTCCTTTCTCATGCCCCGTTTTTGCTTTTCTAATTGCTGTAAGTTCCCTCCTGCACTTGCTGTATTGCTCCCTTTGGATTTGCTAAAAGCCCTGCTCTTCTTCTTTATCCAGTCCTGAATTGTCCTAGACATCCAGGGTTCTCTGAACTTATTGCTCCTACATTTCCCTCTAAAGGGTACAGATCGGACCTCTACTCTCCCCCCAGCTCCATTTTGAATGCCACCCATTGCTAAACTGTAGACTTACCCACAAGAAGCTGTTTCCAGTCTACTGTGGTCAGATCCTGCTTTATTTTAATAAAATCTGCCCTCCCTCAATCTAAAGCCGTCTTTTGCAGGCCATCTTTTTCCTTGTGCAGAACAATTATGAATTGTACCGTGCTGTGGTCGCTATCACCTAAATGCTCCCCCAGTGCCACATCAAACACTTGTCTGGCTTCTTTTCCTGGAACCAGATCCAGCATTGCACCATCCCTTGTTGGGCCTTCGATGTGTTGATACAAAAAGTCCCCTGGACACATTTCAAGAATTCCATCCACTCTAAACCATTAACACTATGATGATCCCAATTTATGTTGGGAAAGCTGAAATCATCTCACATAATTACCTGATTATTATTCTTACACACCTCTGTAAACTGTCTACATATTTGCTCCTATTTCCCGCTGGAGGCCTATAATACACTGCCAGTAAAGTAGCTGCCTTCTTAACATTCCGAAGCTCTACCCAAAAAGCCTTGTTTGAGGACCCTTCCAAAACATCCTCTCTCCTTATTGCAGTTTTGGTTTGAGATTTCCAATATTTGTAACATTTTGCTTTTGGTCACACCTTAATTTTGATGTCTCAGCAATTTCACATACAAATCTACTCTGAAACCTTAATTTCATATACTTTCTAAAAGGGATAGTGCTAAATGAATCAGATTGGATTGGAATGAATACGTATTAGATACTTTCTGACACTAATGGTATTGCTCCAAATCTCAGTTTTGAACTACATGCAGAGCTGTGTACACTTCCCATTTTTGTATAACAGGATCAAGCAAATAGATCGGCACATGGAGAGGCTCTGAAAATATAACCTCACTGCAATCTAGAGTAAATGAAAGCTTGCATGAGAGCTAACTGCTGCTTTCATTGGTTCGCAGTCCAGTGTAACTTTCCTCTTGAGGCTTCCACCAGAAAAAGAAACTGAAAGAGCAGATAATACAACATACAGTTAGTGATAAAGAAATTTCACAATACTGTACCTCAAATTCAAACATTAAAAATAGCTGGGGTAGACCTTCTGTTTTGAGCACAATCAACAGTTGCAGTGCAAATCACAACTATTTGGGAAGTATTTTTTGCTTTTCCAAGTTTCCAGTCAAGTTCATTTGGATATTGCCAATGTGAAACTTGCCCTGAACTGAATTGTGCAATGTGCTAGAGTAAATTTGAAAAAAAAAAATCCTTGATCTATACAAGAATGGTGAATTGGTAAAGGTTAACCATTACCTTTGAGCAACTTCAAGATATTAATATTTGTTTCAAACATCGGTACTGGAGAAGCTAAAGGGACGTAAAATAGATAAATTTATTGAACCTGATGATCCACATCTGAAACTGTTGACAGAGGTGGCTGTGGAAATTTTGATGCGTGTGGCCATCTTTCAACATTTTCTAGACTCTAGAATGGTTTCTGCAGCTTGCAAGCTGGGAAATTTAATCCCATTATTTAAGTAAAGAGGGAGAAAGAAAACAGGGAGTTACAGACCCTGTTGGTTTAACATCAGTTATAGGGTAAGTGCAAGAAACTATAAGAAAAGGGATCTGGTGACAGGACACTTAGAAAATAATGGTAGGACAGTACAGCGTGAATATGCATTTAAGAAAGGGAAATCATATTTAATAAGCCTGTAGGGATTTTATTAGAAAGAATAAATAAAGAGAATTTTGGATGCGGTATATTTAGATATTCAGAAAGCTTTGATAAAGCTCCATACATGAGGTAAAGAAACAAAATTAGACATAGGATTGTTTTTTGGGGGAGGGGTGGTGGTGGTTGATACCCTGGACTGAGAACTGCTTCATGGATATAAAGCAAAGAGTAGGAGTAAATTGATCATTTTCAGGTTGCCAGGTAATTATGAGTGGGGTAGTTGAAGAATTAGTGCTTGGGTTCCTGCTTTTTACAATCTATCTCAATTAATTGGATGTGGGATTAAATATAACATTTCCAAATTTGCAGATGACATAACACTAGGTGAAAGTGTGATCGATGAACAAGATGCAAAGACACTTCGAGGGGACTTGAAGAGGCTGAGTGAATAGGAAAATTAGAAATACAGAGTATTTCTCAAAAGGTGAGAGGCTGGGAAGTGTTGAAGTTCAATAACAACTTTGATGTCCTTGTTAACGAGTCACTGAAAGTTAACTTGCAGGTACAACAAACTTTTAAGGCAAATGGCTTGTTAGCCATTGTTACACAAGGGTTTCAGCATGAGAGTAAAGATGTCTTACTGCAGTTATATAAAGCCTTGGTCAGAATACACCTGGAACATTGTGTGCAGTTTTGCTCTCTTTATATACTTGCCATAGAGGGAGTGAAGTCAAGCTTCACAAACTTGTTCCTGGGATGCAGGGATTGTCCTATGACGAAAGATTAAATAGACTGGGCTTTTATTCTTTGGAGTTTAGAAGAATGAGTGGCAATCTCCTGTAAACATTAAAAATTCCAACAGAGCTCGACTGGTGGATGCAGGAATGATATTTCCTCTGTTTGGGGTAGATGAGATCCAGAGGACATTGTTTCAGAAATGGGAGCAACCATGATCTCACTCAATGGCAAAGTAGGCTCAAAAGTCTGAAAGACCTACTCTTGCTCCTAGTTCTTATGCATCGGATTTATCAACATTTATCAAATGATTAAAACAATCTGGCTGATGCACTAGATCTTATACAATTAATCCATATCATCCCCAGTCAAAATCCATTTGTTGGCTGGCTTCAGGGTTTTATTATGAAATCCAAGTCTACTGTTTTCAACTGGAACTGGAACTGGTTCTACTGTATTCTATAGGTGTGAGCCTGGAAAAGTGCAGCAGGTCAGACAGCATCACAGGAGCAGGTAAATCAACGTTTCAGGCCAAAACCCTTCGTCAGGACTTCGTTGTATTGACAAAGGGTTTCGGCTCAGAATATTGACTTACCTGCTCCGTGGATGCTGTCTAACCTGCTCTGCTTTTCCAGGCTCACACCTATAGACTCTGGCTTCAAGCATCTGCAATCATTATTGTCTCTGGGTTCTACTGTAATGTTGGTAAACTCTTGTAGCCTGTTTTCTTTTCCTGCTTCAATTTTCCAAATTATATGTGATAACTCAGATCTTATCCTGGCTCTTATCTTCCTATACATTGAGTTGTCACTGGGCCTGAAACGTTGACTCTGCTTTCTCCCCTTAAATGCTGCCAGACCTGCAGATTTCCTCCAGAAATTTCTGTTTTTGACTCAGATGTTCAGCATCCGCACGTTATTTTTTGTCTGCTGTACATTCTACTCAATGATACCTACCTTCTCTGCTTTCCACTTGCTTCTAGTGACTGCAGACTCCACATTTCCTTAATGCATTGTCACCCCTTTGCTAGACTGTCTCAAGCTCCTCCTGGTATCCTGTGTTTGGACTCACATCTCCATACAGCTACTCTTGACACCAGCTCATCATCTGTATTGATCCTGTGGATTTACCAATGACTATCCCATGGTTCTTTGAATCACAGAATCCCTACAGTGTGGAAGAAGGCCACCCAGCCCATCAAGTCTACATTGATCCTCTCAAGGGCAGCCCACCCAGACCCACTCCCCTACCCAATCCCTGTAACCAAGCATATCTCATGGCTAATCCACCTGGCCTGCGTATCTCTCAATCCTTGGTTTCCATTCTCATTTCTCTGTCCACTGCTCGCACTAAATCTGCAAGGTAAAGTTGCCAGGGTCCCAGGGAACCATAGGGTGCGCTCTCATTAGAGAAAGATAACTGGTGGTGGTTCAACCTGAGGGTCACCACAACTCAGGTGAGGTTGATAAGATGAGGCCTTCCTGTTAACCTCAGCCAGTGTGGGCAGCAAAAGAAATCTGTACTGGTAGAAGGTTGATTCTCCACTTACTTTTAGCCCCGATTTTCAGTAGTCAATGTCCAGCATGATAACTTCACACACGGGCACTAGAAATTGTGGCACAATGGTATACATTGGGAGGGAGTTGTTCTGTGAGTGTTTAATGTTGACACCAAGCCTCACGAGTTCTCTTAGCATAAAGCTAAACATGGGCAAGGAAACCTCTGTTGATACCAGCTACTAACCTTCCTCAGCTGAAGGCTCTTCCATGCAGTCCACCATGTGGAAAGAGCAATCGGGTAGCAAGGGCACAGAGTGTAGTCTGGGTGGGGGTCTTCAATCTCCATCACCCAGAATGGCTCAATAGCACCATTATTGGCACAGCTGGCCAAATCCTGAAGGCACGTCTTTTAGACTAGGCCTACGGCAACGGATGAGAAAAATCGATGAGGGAAAAGCTTACTTGACATGACACATTGATTTACCTGCCACCAATGTGTTTGCATTTGACAGTGTTGATAGGAGTGGCCACTTGTGAAAACAGCAAGGCCATGCTCCATCATCGTTGTGTGGCACTACCATCATGCTAATTTGCAGAGATTCAGAGCTGATTCAGAGGATCAAAGCTGGGCAATCTTGAGGTATTGTGGACCATCAGTACAAAAGAATTGTACTGAACCACAATCTCCAGCCTCAGAGCTTAATATAGGAAGATGGTGGTTTTTGCAGGCCAATCACCTCATTCCCAAGTCAGGAATTCCTCAAGGTAGTGTGTTAAGTGCAGCCATCTTTAGTTGTTTCATCAATGAATTTCCCTCCAATGTAAGATAATTGCTAATGAATTCACAGAGTCCAATACTATTTGCAGCTCCTCAGTTACTGTCCACATGCAACAAGACTTGAGCAACACTCAGTTTAGGCCTGGTTTGCGGAAATAACATTCAACAAGTGCTCAGTAATGGCAATCTCCAACAAGAAAGAACTAAGCATCTGCCTTTGACATTCCACAGCATTACAATTGTTGAATCCTACACCAATAATCCATGGTGGTTAACATTAACAGAATCTCAATTGAACTGGCTGAACAAGTCTGGGGCTGGGATTCCGCAGCAAGTCACTCACTTCCAACTTTCCAAAGCCTCTCTACAAAGCAAAAGTCAGCAGCATGATAGAACATTCTCCAGGTGCCTGGAGCTACAAAAACACTAAAGATGCTTGATGCCATCCAGGTAAAAGCAGTCTGCATAGCAAGCACACTGTCCACCATCTAAAATATCCATTCCCTCCACCACTACTGCCTAGTATGGATCATCTGAGACACACTGCAGAACTCATCAAGGGTCCCTTGTTAGTATATTCCAAACTAACAACCTCATGCACCTAGAATGACAAGTGAAGCGATGCATATGAATATCACCTTCAAAATCCCTTCTAAGTCACACAGCATCATGAACTGGAATTATATTGTCCCTAGGTCAAAATCCTAGAACTCCCTTCCTAACAGCATAGTGGCTGTACTTACACCACAATAAGGTAGCTCACTACTATATTCTCAAGGGCAATTAGGGATCAGCAGTAAATGCTAATATTGTCAGCAATGCTCTCATCCTTGAACATAAATAAACAATGTTTATTATCAATGTTGATATAGGAATTTAAATTGTAAAGCAGATGTCATTTCTTTTAGGGATGATTGGATTGACAGTTAGGTAAATAGCCAGAGCGCACAGATTCAAGGTAATTGATAAAAAGCACAAGAGGGAATGAAGAAAACTTGAGAAAAAAGAACTGCAGTTGTTATAATTGGGAATACACAGTTTGCAAGGGTGATGGAGGCAGGTACAATACTAAGTTTAAAGGGGAAACATTTGTAGGAAAACGAGAAAAGAATAAGGGAATGGGACTAATTACATAACATTTTCAAAATGCCAGTGGGGCCATCTGGCTTCCTTCTGTGCTGTAAGACTCTGATTCAGATGCATCACACTAGAACTTACCACAAAATACAAAATGGAATCAGGCATAAACATGCTCCCAGCAAAAAACTGAAGCCTGTAAAGCTTTGGACGGTGGCAGCATAAACAGTGTTGAAAACTATGGAGGAAACAGTAGCACTTAAATTTTCAAGACAGGCAACACAGGCAAAGAGAACACCTGCAAATGAACAAAGGAGAATAAAACCATGTTAATGATGGCACAAAACAAGAATCTCTTGAAAAAACACACTCTAGTTCAGGTTACTTCTTCAATAGAAAATAACTTTCTTTGGTGTAAGATGGGATGAGGGAGAAGGTACTCAGGGAGTATTTTTTTTTTCCTTTATTCGTTAACAAGATGAGGGCGTCACTGGCTAGGCAGCATTTATTGCCCATCCCTAATTGCCCAGCGGGCAGTTCAGAGTCAACCACATTGCTGTGGGTCTAGAGTCACATGTAGGCCAGACCAGGTAAGGATGGCAGTTTCCTTCCCTAAAGGACATTAATAAACCAGGTGGGTTTTTACCGACAATCAACAATGGGTTCATGGTCATCATTAGACTCTTAAATCCAGATATTTTTATTGAATTCAAATTCCACCATCTGCTGTGGCGGGATTCAAACCCAGGTCTTCAGAATGTTATCCGGGTCTCTGGATTAACAGTCCAGCAATAAGACCACTAGGCCATCGCCTTCCTGGGCTGAATGGCTTGTTTCTGCACAGTGGATAAAATAAAAGAACAAATTTCTGCATTGGATCATGATATCGTTGGGGCAATATTAGGCTCACCGTGGATCCAACAGTAGCCATCAGGATTGTACTACCTCTTACCTAAAGGTGGTAATTTTACATAACTGTGCTCCTAGCATTGTGTTTCCTCAAGCCGGAAGGAATATCAAATAAACTAGTTATGTCTTTATGACTAATAAATGAGAAATCACATACAGCACATAGCCAAACCTCTGATATATATTCCAGCTGTATGTTGAAACTACTATCTTTTTTTAATTTAATGAAGCTAATTACCATACATCCAAACAAAATTAAGTATTTAACAACTAAAAATCAAGGTATAGATATATTTTTAATGATGTAGCATAATTTCTGATGGTATAATGTATAAAAAAGTAGACTGATGGTAGAGTTAAACTTAGCATATTCCTTATTGTTTGGACAACCACAGATAGATTGCACTGACATACTGCAGTCAGTGTACCTCTTCTAGGTTAGAGTATGCTTTCCATTGGCCAGGATGGAGATAATGCTGTTTTCCTACTTCCACTTAGCATCAATCTGTATACAGCTGTTTAATAGGGGTTTCTGAATGTGATGTTTTGTGCAGCTTGACAAGGAAGGTATTTCATGGTGCTTGGTACTTTCTCTGACCTGGCAGGACTCTGTACTTTACAAGATTCAAATTTGACATATGTGCCTAAGGTTCTTGAGAAGATTTGTAGCTCAGGTTGTGCATGAGATTGTTGGCTTGCTCACCGAGCTGGCTGGCTATTGTTCGGACGTTTCGTCACAATGCTAGGTAACATCGTCAGTGCGGCCTCTGATGAAGCAATGTTGTTCTACTCTGCTTGGTATCTATATGATATCTGTTAAGTTGGGTTGTGTCATTTCCAGTTCTGTTCTGCATGGGTACAAACCATGGGGTCTATGGGGTCTAATGCCACATGTTTGTTGATTGCATTACTGGTTGAAAACCAGGCCTCTAGGAATTCCTGTGCGTGTCTGTGGTTGGTTTGAGCTAGATTGGTCATGTTGTCCCAGTTAAATTGATGGCCTTCATTGACCGAGTGCACTGAGAATGAGGGAAAGTTTGTCATGTCGTTTTGCTGCTAGCTGGAGTTCACGTATCCTAATAGCTAATTTTCTTCCGGTCTGGTCAATGTAATGTTTGCTGCAGTCATTGCAAAGTATTTTGTAAACCACATTGGTCCTGCATGTCATGGATATGGGGTCTTTGGTCCTTGTGAGTTTTTGTCGTAGTGGGTTTGTGTGCAACCATGATTCCTAGTGGTCGTAGGAGTCTTGTTGTTGGTTCTGGTATGTTCTTGATATAGGGTAGTGTGGCCAGTGTATTTGGACCATCAATTTAACTGACCAAATCCTCAGTTTCAACAGGAATCATCCCAACATTCACAAACAAAGCTGTGTTAGGGGACTATTCAAACGGGCCACAACTCACTACAACACACCAGAACTACTCAGGAAGGAGGACGAGCACCTTTACAAGGTCCTTGCTAACAATGAAAATCCCAACAGCTTCATCTGCAGGTGTCTACTAGATAGACAACACCAAGAGGACACAGTACGCTCCAATACACTGGCCACACTACCCTATATCAGGAACATAGCAGAACTGACCACGAGACTCCTACAGCCACTAGGAATCATGGTTGCACACAAACCCACAGCCACACTATGACAAAAACTCACAAGGATCAAAGACCCCATACCCATGACATGCAGGACTAATGCAGCTTACAAAATATTTTGCAATGACTGCAGCAAACATTACATTGGCCAGACTGGAAGAAAACTAGCCATTAGGATACATGAACATTAGCAGCAAAACGACACAGCAAACTTTCTCTCATCTCAGTGCACTCGGACAATGAAGGCCATCAATTTAACTGGGACAATGTGACCATCCTAGCTCAAGCCAACCATAGACATGCACGGGAATTCCTACAGGCCTGGTTTTCAACCCGTAATGCAATCAACAAACATGTGGAATTAGACCCCATATACAAACCCATGCAGAACAGAACTGGAAATGACACAACTCAGCTTAATAGGCCGGATCATATAAATTCCAAGTGGAGTAGAACAACATTGCTTCACTGGAGGCTGCACTGTTGATGTTACGTAGAATGGTGACGAAACGTCTGTACGATAACCAGGCAGCTCGGCGAGCCAGCCAACAACCTGACATATGTGCTCGGTCGGTCCAGAACATGTTGGCAGAGTGTATCTGATTTTGTAGTGAGGGTGAACGGTTGTTTGCTGTTAACACTGAAAATTACATTTACCCATGTGGTGCAGACAATCAAAACAGGGCCAGGAAACAAGTCCAGCAAGCAGGAGAGTTAAGGGGATGTCAATTATTCTCTGGCATCTGACAGATGACTGCCTAAAACGATTGGTTCTGAAGGTGTGACCAGAAGCCTAGGAGCAATTCACCATGGTCAGCACTTCTGTAGAACTTAATACCTACTCTCACCATGCTCAGTGACAACACGCTTTGTGAAATGGAGGCATGCGAGATGCTCAGTTAGGAGCTTTGCTCTTCCAAGACCCACTATGGGTATGAACATAGAACTCTGGAGCTAACCTCTTCACTCATGTGTAAGCTTCTGCCGCTGTCTCCTGCCTTCCTTGCTTCTCAAACTCATCCTTCCAGCCTTGAGGCAACTCTACAAAACTATTGCTTGGATCAAAAGGCAGCTTATGATAACCTTCTCAAGGGTAACAAGGAATAGGCAATAAATGCTGGCCCAGCCAGCAATACTCACATCCCCTAAGTGAATAAAAAGACTCAAGACGACCAAAAACAGTCAGACCAGCTAAATCTTCTTCTCAGAAATCAGAGTTATGGCAGACCATTAGTTGAAAGCAGTGGCTGAACCCATTAAATGGTGCTATTTCATACTTACAGTGCCAGAGGTTGCTGGCAATTTAATTGCTTGTATGAATGGCCAGATGAATACCAGAAAAAAAATTTAATTATCATTTTAAATTAGTTCTGACATTTAACCTGGATACCTACAGAACATCTCAATCCATATGGTGGGAAGCATATGCCTGATTTATAACCTGCACTAATACCATGGCCACCATAATTGCTGAAACAGGCGAAGAACTAATTTTGTGCCTGAGGAAGGTCTGTGGCAATGTGAATTTCTGGATCAGTTTTATTTGATAGTACTTTGACATATCTCACCGAGTAAAGGCAAAACTTCCTTGTGAGCTACTGAAATATGAAGACCATCTTGTTTGGAAACAAAAGTTGGTCCAACAAGGCCAGCAGATTCACAGGAGCACCACCAACTCCCAAGTTTCCCTTCAAGCCACACACCGACCTGACTTGGAAATAGATTGCTGTTTCTGGCTGTCATTAGGTCAAAATCTTGGAACTTCTTTTCTAATAGCACTGTGGGTGGACTAACACACTGATGACAGCAGCAGTTCAAAGAGGCAGCTCACCATCATCTTCTATTTGATTAGGAATGGGCAATAAATGCTGGTCCAGCCAGCTCATCCTATGATTAAACAATAACAAAAGCTTGGCAAAGCCTTCCAAAGCTAGTTTGACATCCATTTGCAACAGGCAAAACTAGCAATCCTGCTCTATGCCAGATTTAGAGAGGAGCCAAAAGAGCAAAGGCTATTTTCAAGATTAGTTACATTAGTGTTATATGAAAGAAGTTTTAATCACAAACAGTGATGAACAGCCAATATACTGTACGTAAATAATTTATTTGGTCACATCAGGCAAATTCCTCTGTTCTTTTTCAAAAAGTGCCATGTTTTCTTTAACATAGATCTGACAGCAGCCTCAGATGAACATCTCAGCTGAAAGACAGCATTTCCACTAGTGTAGAACTGCCTCAGGTGATACATTGAAGTTTCAGCCAAAAATGTGCACTCATGTCTCTAGAGGGAGCTTGAACCAATCACTTTCTAACTCAGAGGCAAGAGCACCACCCTGACCCACAACTGACACACGAAACACATTAATGGGCTGGAAGAAGAAGCTGGAGGCAATTGCACAGTTACAAAATAAGGTGAACATTTTGAAAAGTAACGACATTCACTGCAGACCTTGAAGAAAGTTCCCCCATAGGTCTAGTGATCTCTGAAATCCTCCTTTCCAATGGCTGAACTAGCATTAAGTTCAGGAAATCTTCAGTCATTGAGCAACAATGATGTCAATCAGTGTAGCAGCTCTCAGATCCAGGCAGCAAACCAGGAATGCAATCTCAGAATCCCTACACTTTTAATTTTGAAATGTTACAGATGGTAAAATAAATGATAGGAATACATGTATAAGATTAAGGTAAATCTCCTGATAGCATCTGAGGGGAAGGTAGCAATAACCAATTTGTGGCACCACAGTTGGCTCTATTGCACAACAGGGGAGGTAAAAGACCGGGAGAGCTTTAGTGATAGGGGACTCGATTGTAAGGGGAACTGACAGGAGGTTCTGTGGCAGCAAACAAGACTCTCAAATATTGCTTCCCTGCTGCCAGGGTCAATGTCTCAGAGTGGTTGCAGGCTGTTCTGAAAGGGCAGGGTAAACAGCTAGTAGTTGTGCTACAAGTCAGTACCAATGATATGGGTAAAAAATAAAATGAGGTCCTGCAACAGGAATTGAGAGAGTTAGGAAACAAATTAAAGAGGAAGACTACTAAGGTTGTGGTATTTGGTTTACTTCCTATGTCACATGCTACTGAGTACAGGAGTAGGAAGATAGGTCAGATGAATGCGTGGCTAAAGGGATGGTGTAGGAGGGAGAGCTTTAGATTTTTAGATCATTTGGACAGATCCTGGTGTAGGTAAAACCTGTTACAGACTACACCTGAACTGGAATGGGTCCAATATCCTTGCTGGGAGGTTTGCTCATGTTGTTGGCGGGTTTTAAACTAATTTGGCTAGGGGATGGGGCACAGAATAAATCAAGAGCAAGTTCCAATCAGATATCAAAGGAATGCTAGGATTGTCAAGTAGGTGCCAAAGACATGGCTGAAGGAAGGGCAGTCTGGCAACTCAACATTCCAGGATATAGAAGTTTCAGGTGCTATAAGGGGATGTGAGCGAGGTGGGAATATTGCATTATTGATTAAGGAAACAATCACTGCAATAATGAGGGAGCATGTTCTAGAAGGGTCTTCAAATAAGAGCTCAGAAATAAACAAAGGGTGATTACTTTTTTTGGGATTATACTACAGGCCTCCTAACAGTCAGTGGGAGATAAAAGAATAAATATGTCAGGAAATCACAGAAATATGTGAGAAAAACAGGGTTACAGTTGTGTGGCATTTTAACTTTGCGAACATTAACTGGGATCGCCTTAGTGTGAAAGGACTAGATGGGATGGAATTTTTGAAGTGCATCCAGGAGAGCTTTCTTGTACCAGCATGCAGACAGTCCCACTAAAGATGGGGCAGTGCTAGACCTAATCCTAGGGAATGAAGCCAGTTCAGCGATTAAGTTTCAGTGGACAAGCATTTTGGAGATACCGACCATAACTCAGTAAGTTTCAAGTCATTATGGAAAGCAATCTGGATAGTGCAGAGTTAAAAGTCTAAACTGGGATAAAGCCAATTTCAATACCATTAGACAGGATTTAACAGGCTGGGAGAAGGTATTTGCAGATAAATCTACATTTGGAAAGTGGGAATCTATTAAAAATAACATAGTAAGAATTCAGGACCAGCATGTTCCTCTACGACTGAAGGGCAAAGGCAGCAAGACCAGGTAACCCTGGATGTCAAGGGATATCAAAAGTTTGATAAAGAGAAAGAAGGAAGCATATGTCAGGTAAAGAGTACTAAAAACAGGGGAGGCTCTTCAAAAATATAGAGTGTAGGAGGTTGCTTAAAAAATAAATCAGAAGGGTAAACAGGGGCCAAGAAATATTTTTGGCAGAAAGGATCACAGAAAACCCCAAGGCATTTTATAACGATGTTAACAGTAAGTATATTACCAGAGAAAGAGTGGGCCTGTAAGAGATGCAACGGAGCCGGTGGGCATGGATGAGGTCTTAAGTGAATACTTCTCAGCTGTATTCACAGTGGAGAAAGACATAATAGCTGGAGATTTCAGTTGGGCTGGTGAGGTTCTAGAACATGAGATAACAAGGTGTAGAGCTGGATGAACACAGCAGGCCAAGCAGCATCAGAGGAGCAGGAAAGCTGACGTTTCGGGCCTAGACCCTTCTTCAGAAAAACATGTTAAGGTTAATAAGGAGGAGATATTAGATGTTTTAGTTGTATAAAGATGCATAAATCCCCAGGACATGATGAGATGTATCCCAGGCTGCTATGGGAGTCAAGGGAGGAAATTGCTGAGACCCTGGCGGATATATTTAATACTTTATTGGCCACAAGCGAAGTGCCAGATGACCGCATGATAACTAATGTGGTTCCTCTGTTCAAGAAAGGCAGCAGGGATCGGCCAGGTAATTACAGACCAGTTAGTCTGACATCAGTGGTAGGGAAGTTATTGGAAAAAATTCTGAGGGATGGGATTAATCAACACTTGGAAAGGCAAGGATTTATCAGGGATAGTCAATACAGATTTGTTAGACGGAGATCCTGTCTGACTAATTTAAATGTGTTTTTTGAAAAGGCGACTAAATGTATTTAAGAGTGTAGTGCAGATCATGTGGTTACATGGACTTCAGTAAGGCCTTTGACAAGGTTCCACATGGAAGGGTGGTTCATGAGGTAAGAGCTCATGGGATCCAAGGCAAGTTAGCATGCTGAGTCAAAAACTGGCTTACAAATAGGAGGCAAAGGGTGATGGTGGAGGGCTGTTTTTGTTATTGGTTCCCTGTGACCAGCAATGTGCCACAGGGATCAGTGCTGGACCCTTGTTGTTTATTATGCATGTTAGCGACTTGGATGTGAACATAGGAGGTATGATTAGTACGTTTGCTGATGATACAAAAATTGACGATATTGTTGATAGTGAGGAGGATGGTCTCATTGATCAGATGGCAAAATGGCAGGGCAATGGCAGATGGAATTTAATCCTGATAAGTGTGAGGTGATACATCTTGGGAGGTCTAATGAGGGAAAGATGTACACGGTGAATGCTAGGTCCCTAGGCTGTAGTGAGGAACAAAGCAACACTGGTGTACAAGTCCATAGATTCCTGAAAGTGACAGGACAGGTGGATATTGTGGTGAAGGATGGATATGAGATGCTTGTCTTCATTAGCCAGGCCATATAAAATAGCAGCAAATAAATCTTGTTAGGCCACAGATGGAATATTGTGTGCAGTCCTGGTTACCACACTATCACAAGGACTTGATTGCACTGGAGAAGATGGAGAGGAAATTCCAGAATGTTGCCTGGGACGAAAAGTCTCAGTATAAGGAGAAACTGGATAGGGTGGGTTTGTTTTCCTTGGAGCAGAGGAGGCTGAGGGGGAATTTGATTGAGGTATACATTATTATGAGAGGCACAGAGTCGATACGAGAATCTTTTCCTCATGGCAGACGTGTCAGGGACCAGAGGTTTAAGATGGTTTAGAGGAGATTGGAGAAAAAAAATTCACTCCGAGAGTGGTAGAAATATCGAATGTGCTACCTGAGAGGGTGATGGCAGCACGTACTCTAACATTTAAGAAGCATTAGATGAGTATTTAAAATGCCAAGGCAAGGTAGGGTATAGACCAAGTGCAGATAAATGGGATTAGTGTAGTTGGGTGTTTGTTGGTCGGCAGAGACTTGGTGGTCCAAAGGGCCTGTCTCTGTGATGTATGACTCTATGATATTCAACAAATATTACATTTCAGGTTCCATGCGGCTGTTTAGTAATGATGATGAATTCAGTATTTTGTTAAGAACACAGTTACACCTCAACAAGAAGGTATGAATTTTTCATTTCCATTAGAGTGAGACTGATAGTTTTAAGTGAGGAAGCTCTTGTTGGTTCAATGATTTCCCATTGATTTGCAGTTTTTGGGGGAGATTTCAAAAGTGCATCTTCCAGACAAGTGTAGAATACTGCTTATAGATTTCCATGTTTAGTGGCAGATACGCAGGCTCTACAAGTTGCTATCACTTTCAGAGAAGTAATGACGATAAACATTGATAGTTTCGGAATCATTACCACCGCAATATCCACCAAGCCTCTGAATGGAAACCAACATGTTACATACATTTATGGATACAAACTATATAAAACATCTGAGGCATGAAGTATTTTAAATAATTGACCTTGATGCTGAGGTGAGACTAACTTCGACATCATTGATCGTAGGACAGGAAGTGGCATGACGGCAAAAAGAAAAACCAGTCTCACTGTAAAAAGGAATTAAAATTGATCAAGACACCAGTATAGAACAAAAGCCAGATGACATACATTGTGCAGTTTCAAAGATCATAATCTTACTTCTGTTCAATTATATATATGCATTGTGATATCATTAAAATACCTTATACTGTTTATTCTATGCAAATTCTAGGTTTTATTCATCTATTCTGGACTTGTCTCTTCCAATACACTTCTGGTTCCCAATTTCTGTGCATTGCAAAAGTCATCTAGAACTCTGCTTCTCACGTCCAATCCTGTTCTTCCACTGTTACAATGCTTGCTGACCTGTATCGACTCATGGTTACACAACACCTGACTTTAAAATACTCATCCTCATTTTCAAATCAATCTGTGGCTCAATGTTGCTAACTTCAGCCCTTTGACCTGTCTGCATTTTTCAATTATGGGCTCTGGCACATCCCCGATTTTAAATCATTCCAATGCTGGCAACTGTGCCTTCAACTACCAAAGCTGTAAACCTTCCACCTCTCTTCATATTTTTTTCCTTTAATGTATTTGATATAACGTACGTTTTGATCAAGCTCTTGGTGTTTTGCCTTAATATCTCTTTATATACTTGACCCCCTTTTTTGGGACACGTGGTGCAAACTTTTACATGACAAGGCTCCTATGAATCACATTGTGATGTTACACTATGTTTAAGATGCAGTGGAAGTGTAAGTTATTATTGTGGTACTGATTAATATTGTTCTCGATGGGATTTCTGGCTCACATGAAAGATTTCCACACACCAAAGGCAGGGTTCCCCAGCCAGTTGAGCACAAGAACAGGAGTCCCCAGACCGGAAATAATGGCAATCTGAAAGTCACCCTCATAGCATGAAAGCTGGATTCCAATACACAGAGGAAGAGAGAAAATAAAACTTCCTTTAAACAGACCTAAATGGACAACTCTGTCATTAGATAATTTCAACATTTGGGAAGATCAGAGCCAAATACCTTCAGGTTAAACAAGCAAAGCACAAAGCCAATGACTTCAACATCCCTAAAACACTGACCTTACAGTCAGTATTTGCAATCACTTACGCAAATCAAGACTTGGCCTGAAGTCCCATAAACTTAAGCTTAAACCAATCATTTTTTTTTGACTTGCTGAAAACTCATGCATCAAAATGACAGGAGAATCCATTAGATAAGACATGCTGGCTAAATTAAGGAAGCTTATATATTGTTTGGAGAAGCTACCCAACAGATTTCACTATAATTGCTTAAGGGCTTATGTTAAAACTCTTCACTTTGGCCTCAATGCTTACTACAAATTTTAACAATCATCCCTTTAAATTAAATTTGTGTATCTGCTTTGCATCAGTTAAAACATAAACTTAACATGCTCGCCTTTCTTAGCCTTTATTAACCACCTTGCATCATACACGGGAACACAGCAAATCGGGATAGGCCATTCAATCCTTCAAGCCTGCTTCACCATTCAGTATGATTATGGCTTATCATCCAACTCAGTACCCGTTCCTGCTTTCTCTTCATACCCTCTGATCCCCTTAATCCTAAGAAATATATCAAACTCCTTCTTGAAAACATTTAATGTTGTGCTTCAACCACTTTCTGTGGCAGAGTATTCTAAAGGCTCACCACTCTTGGGGTGAAGAAATTTCTCCTCATTTCGGTCCTAAATAGCCCAACTTGTTTCCTTTGAATACCTGGCATGGTTCACATTTTCTACTCGCTGCACTTCTTATACACCTTTGCTATCTTTGATTCAGGCTACATTTGAGCACATCTGAGTTAGCAGTGAAGAAGCTCATAATATCGTTGATAGTGAAATACATTTGGCCCATATGAACCCTACTGACTCAAGAGTCTGCTAGGTTGAGTTTAAGGGAAAATCCATGAGTATGAGAAGACAAAAATGAAAGAGTTACAAGACAAAAAGGAAAGCAAGATAGAAAAGATGAAAAGCAAAAAAAAAAAGTGATATCAGCACGGTCGATGAATCTGGAAGCACTTATTGAGAGGGAAACAGAATTAGATATTTTCACTGCCATGACCATCATCCGTTATAGATGGAAGGATGCTGGAACAGAAGCATGGGAAAGGGGAAGCTAGGGAAGGTTAGAACAAATGGGAAGGTATACTATTGGGTGAAAACAGGAGAAAATAATTGATAACAAAATGGAGGAAGATAAAAAGGATAGCAGGTTAAAAAAAGTGAAAAAAATTATATACAGGAGGTGTAAATGAGACAACAGAATCATTACCACAAGTAAAACCAGTAACACACAACAAAAAGGGAGAAGGGGATATGACCTGAAAAATATTTAACTCAAATTTGAACCCAGAAAATTGCAAGGTGGCCAATTGTAAGAAGAGGTGCTGTTCTTAGAGTTTGCCATGGTCAGGGTCTAATATTGCTCCATATTTTCTCAAGGAGGATCATGTCATCGATCAATTAGGCCAATGAAGCTCACTGCTGCAATAAATGAATGGGGCCCAATTTTAGTCAGCAATAATCATTAGTTTACTTTCTGCATTATATATCTCTGCTAACGCTTGACTGAAGTTATTTCCTCTAAACTGTTTCTCCAGCCTTCTGTCAAATCCTTCACTTTTTACAAATACTTACCCAATTGCAGTTAAATAATATGGTTAACCACTATATCAACAGTCAACTATTTTTTAAAAAATGAACTAATAACAGAGGGAAAATATAATCTAACCTGGCCTTTTGTTCTGAGATTTATTGCAATCCCTGTTTTCTACATCATTTAACAAAGTTTCAACTTGCAACTATTGCCTATTCTAAATCAATTTATTTGGAATTATGTGGATACTATAAAGAATAAGCATTTACTTATTTGTGATTTGAAACATTGCAAAAACACTTATAACATGACAGTTTTGTTTAAACCCCACCCCCGACTTATAATTTACAAGCAGTTACATAATAATTGGATTCATAACAGAACTGGGACTACTTTAATGAAATTTTGAAATTTGGTCCCTTTTTATTTAACCACCTGATTGATTTAATTATGTAAATACTTAATTCCAGTCACATTTCATTTTAAGAATATTAAAGTTTAACATACCCAGAAACATGAACAGTGTAGTCTTGGCAAAGATAGTCATGATCATTCCTCCAGCAAAGGATAATATCCCAATAAGAACTATAAAATGGTCTCGAAGAAAGCGGGAAAATACCGTCACTCCCAGAAAACTTGTAAGAAATGAAATTAGTCCAGTTGCAGAGCCATATCCAATAAGTACTGCATTCCAACAAAGAGGCGCATTCAATTCATAAAGCGTAAAAAGCCCACCAGAACCAAATGAAGCAAATGCATAGGTTGAAAAAGCAAGAAGCATGAGGCCAAGTTGAACACGATTTCTAAAATTAGAACTAATATATAGATTTATAATTCCAGTGAATATTTCTCGGAATTTTCCACAGCCTGATCCTTTGTTTTGCCCATTTCTTGACACTTGGACACTCTCTTCAAGGAAAAAGATAATATACATGACATTGGCAAAATTAATCAATGAGGCAATCAAGAATAACCAATTAAAGTTTAATGCGTTCAGTAAGTGTCCAGATGTTATCAGCCCTATGCCACCCATTACGCCAACAATCATGTCCAGCAATGCCATGCGCATATTTTTGTGCTCACTAGAGCTCACATCTGCTACATAGGCAAAAGCTCCTCCGAACAAAGTTGCGAAGCCACCAAAACATGCACTTAGTGCAATGGGTATAAAAAGAAAATAAATAGGCCAAGAAAAGTAGGTCATGGCTAAAAAGGACAAGCTGGTAATCAGAGCCCCGATAGAGGGGAGGAGAAGAGTTAATCTGCGTCCATATTGATCACTGTATGAGCCCAATATGAAGCTAACGATGAAGTTGGGTAGGAACTGAATCAAAGTCATGCACATAAAGAAGTGAGATGATAATCCCTGGACAACCTAAAATAAAGAAAGTAAATAAAGAATTAAAAAAAATCACAAGTTAAACCTTTTTAAACAATATTTAAGACATTTCAATTAAGCAACACCCTACTCCGCTTGCTGTTAGCCATCCAATTTTCTATCCATGCCACTGTGTTACCCCTAGACCATGGAACTTTGTTTTCTGCGATAACATATGATGTGACACCTTATCAAATGCGTTCTGGAAATCCAAGTAAAATACATCTGCTGCTTCCCCTTTATCCACAGCTTATGTTATCTCTCCAAAGAACTCCAATGAATTCAGTATACATGATTTTACTATAACAAGGCTGAGATGATCAGCTTCCAACAACCACAAACTTCTTTTGAGCTAAATGTGTCTATCCAGAAGAGACTTATCGCTCCTATAATTTGTATTCAGACTCCCTTAATGTCAAAGGCAGACACTTACATCTCACTCCTTGCATTCATGTCTTTTATTTAAGTTCAGACCAAAGCTTTATTGAGATCCACAGCCAAGTGTTTCTAGCAGAACCAAAACTGAGCATTAATAGGCAGGTTATTGGTGAGTGTATGCTGCTTGATAGCACTGTCAGTGACAACGTAGATCATTTTACTGATAAATGTAGGCAGACTCATTGGGCACTGATAGGCGAGATTACAATTGTCCTAGGTAATTGGGTACCTAGCAATTTGCCACTTTGTTGCATAGATACCAATGTCATAGCCAACTGTAACAGCTTGTCTATGGATGCGGTTAGTTCTGAAATGTGAGTTTTCTCCACTACAGCTGTCATGTGGTCAGAACCCAGAGCGTATGCTGCATTCAGTGCACAGTCTTCTTCTGGTTTTTGTATAATAAAATTCAATTTGTTTTCATTTTACAAATACTTCGTTTTCTAACCAAAGATGGATTGTTTAATTAAAACAAAGGTCATTTAAAAATGATTACTAATAAGCAGGTGCCACATCTTGAAATGACAAATATAACTTTTATTCAGGAAAGTGATTTACAATTACACTTTGTAATTTATTAGGGCATCAGTTGTAGATACTGACCTCTTGTTTCATGTACACAGGGTCACTGTGGTTCTGGTAGCAGTAAGAACTAGTTTCATTCCCAACATAGCTGCTGTTAGTTTCCCTTGTCCATATCCTGCGATAAATATACTGCTGCATTAAGAGTTCATCTGCCATATTAGGCAGAGTGTATAGGGCGACAACAGGTTCAATGAGAAACAGCCTACACATTGCTCTCAGAAAACAAGTCCCTGTGTGTAAAACAAAAATCAAAGAAAAGCATTGTTACTGAAATAGTGCGGACTTAAATGGAAAACTAAACCTAAATTAAACTTAATCTAGTGGAACACAAACAAAAACTAGAGAAATAGTAGGAACTGCCGATGAAGGGTCTCGACACGAAACGTCAGCTTTCCTGCTCCTCTGATGCTGCTTGGCCTGCTGTGTTCATCCAGCTCTACACCTTGTTATCTCAAAAACTAGAGAAGCTTGCTTCAGTTTTGTTTATTGTATGCACAAATAAATAATTACAACTGACATAAGACAACATGCAACTTACATGTTGTCCATATGGGATGGAATTAGTACAATAGCAATAAATGATTTTGGATTAGATTTACAGTTCGAGGAACTTTGGTTCCAAGTTGAGGAGTTGGGGTCTGAGCTGCAGACTTTGTGTCACACGAGGGATGGGACAAGTTACCCTGACACTTTGCTCCAGGAGCCAGTCACGGCCCTCATTCTGGAAAATTAAAAATTTGGTCAGTGATCAGGGACGGGAGGGTGTGAGTGCAGGGAAGCTAAGTGTGGGGACCCAGGCACTGCATTTGAGGAGCCTCAGCCCCTGAAGTTGTTCAACAGTTATAAAGTGCTTGAAAGTAGCGCAGACGAAAGTGGGGACTGTAGGGAGGATAAGTGGGACTCTGCCACTTATGGGAGAGCCTAGGACCAGAGGGCGTAATCTCAGAATAAGGTGGTGCCTGGTTAGGATAGATATGAGGAGGAATTTCTTCTGTCAAAGGACGGTGAAACCGAGGATTTCTTTTCCACAAATAGCTGTATAGGCTGAGTCATTATGTATATTCAAGGCTGAGACAGACAATTTTTAATCAAGGGTTAAGGAGGAATGACAGGAAAGAGTAGGATAATAGGTCGGCACAACATCGTGGGCCGAAGGGCCTGTACTGTGCTGTACTGTTCTATGTTCTAAAATGGAATTGAGGATAGCATAGCAGACTCAATGGGCTGAATGACCTATTCCTGCTCTTATGTCTTATGGTCAATCAGATAATCATCCCTACATTTTTCAGGATAATGCCACAGAGTCTTTCAATGGCCCATTAAAAATGTTACCCAACATTATAATAGTTGGATGAATCATATTTTATTATTGCTGAAAAGAAAGACATATTACCAAATAACTTCATCGTGCACTTATCAAGACAAACACAAAAGGCCAAATCTCAAATGATCACAACAATTTATAGTACAGGAGGGAAAACGGCCAGCAACTCTAGTTCCTACAATGCCAGCCAGGGGAGGTGTCCACTGCTGGGCCTACAGACAGTCACACAACACCAGACGGACCAAATATGTCCACGGTCATGGGTCTCAGTGAGGGGCTGGAGAGCTAGGGGATGATCTTGAAGGATAGGGCTGATGCTGGCAGGCCAGAGAATCTGCAAAAGGGGTACTCACAGTTGCCTGTAACCAGACTGTGCAGCTAAAACTATTGGTCTTGCCACATGGCAGGGCATGCCCATTTTACAAGAAATAAAATAGCTGAGGTTGGATGAAACCATTAAAGGCATATTCATTAGAAGAACTAAAATGATCTTATGGAAACACAAGATTCTGATAGAGCTCGCTGGGATACACATTGAGAGGATTTTTCCTGTCCTAAAGGAATTGAAAAATTCACAGCACAGTTTAAAAATAAGGGGTTCCCTTTTAAGAGAGAGATCTGGAAGAACTCCTTCTCTCAGAGGATCGTTGGTCTTTAAGATTCACTTCCACAGATAGCAGCGAAGCATGAGTTGTTGAATATATTCAAAGTTGGAAGTGAGTCCAGGTTTTCGGGGGCAGGAAAACCGAGACAGGCCAAATTCAGATCAGCTATGCTTATATTTATTGCCCAAGCATGTTTGATGGGCTGAATGGTCTATTCCTTTTGTGTCTTCTTATGATCATATTCCAGATTTTCAATTGAAGATTCAAGGATTGATGCAGCCCATTCACTTTTTCTAAAGCTAGTAGTGGAATCCACAACAGTAACGTGTCAACTAACCCTGTTAAAGGAGTCCTGTCACGAAAAAGGAACCATCTCCTTCCTTCAGGAACAGTTTAAGCTGATGAAAGCTAATGTGACCACAGCAGGTGGCTGCACTTCCTCCAATGGCAAACTTTTTTTCCCTCTGGTTTGAAATTACTTTCCAGAAATATCAAAGCGATGATTGACCAAATAATCTGTTTCTTTAGTGGTATTAGCTGAGGGAAAAACGTTGACCGGCACACTAGATTCAGAGGTTTTCAAAATCATGAGCTTGTTGGATAGAGTAGATAGGGAGAAGCTGTTCCTGCTCATAAAAGAACAGAAAAGAATGAGAAGGCATATATTTAAAGTGATGTGCAAATGAAACAAGTGCGATGTCAGAAAAAAATCTTTTACACACAGCAAATAGTTTGGATATGGAATGCACTGCCTAGAAGTATGGTGGAGGCAGGTTCAATTAAGGCATTCAAAAGGGACATCTAATAGAAATAATGTGCAGGGACATGGGGAAAAGGTAGGAGATTGATGCTAGGTAATAGAAGTAGTGAAGGCACAATGGGCCAAATGACCCCCTTCAGCATAGTAACAGTTCTGTGATTCACTGCACTTCTTCATATAGTATCAAGGTATCTACTGCAGTTGTATGAAATGAGAGATGTGTTTTTGTTTAATTTCTCATCTGAAAGTTAGCACCTCTGTTAATATTGCTTTTCCTCAGTACTAAAGAAGTGGCTTGAATCCAGGGCTTACAGACTTACAAAATATATTTTAAAAAACTGGGCTAAGGCAAAATCCAAGAAAATGTTTAGAAAAATATACAATCATACTCTCTACACAGACACACAATCCACAGCTATTTAATAAACAGTTTGTGTGTATATTTGTTATAAATGTTTAGCATTGAGTAACTTTACCTGATTAGGAGGGAACCACAGAGCATTCTGCACTTTCCTGCATGCTCCTTCCCACCTGCAGCCAATGTGTGGAGAGGTTTGTATAGTCACACGCATGAACACACACACACACGAACTATATATTCTCATGCATCAAAAACAAAACTACACAAGGCATGCAACTACTTTCTCCCACCTCCTCCACTTTTAATTCGCACATTTTACTTTTTACTTAGAGATAGTAAGAACTGCCGATGCTGGAGTCAAAGATAACACAGTGTGGAGCTGGAGGAGCACAACAGGCCAGGCAGCATCAGAGGAGCAGGAAAGCTGACGTTT